CCCCCCCCGCAGCCTGGCTCCCCATCCTTCCTTAAATGCTCCTCTAAGTTCACGATCAAAGTTAATATCGCCCGCAATGGTGGCACTTTTAAAAATTTCACAGACCGAGGGAGATAACGGGGAGGGGGTTCACCCGGCTTTTCCAAAGAGCCCTTTTCCCTCCCTCCCCACCCCTTCTCCATCGTAAAAAGTCGAGTCGTTGGGAGAGAGGGCTTTGTAGGTTATAATAAAATCCTTTGAATGCTTATAAAACTCCACATAAAATCTGTCTGACCCAAAACACGAGGCTGTCCCCGCGCCCCGGCCGCCCCCCTCGCCAGCCCGCCCTCCCGCTCCCTCCCGCGCCGCCCGCCAGCGCCGGCCGCTGCTACCTACTGGGGGCGGCTCCCTTGGCCGGCTCCTTGGTCGCCGAGTGGGCAGAACCGGACGAGCTGGGGTTTGTGTTCTCCTCCTCGGCCTCGGCCTCGGCCCCCGCCTCTGCTCGGGACGCCAGTCCCGAGGCCGGGGGCGCCTCGGGCTCCCCCTTGGCCTCGCCCTTGCCGGAGCAGGGGGGCTCGGCGGGCGCGTCGCCGCCACCGCAGTAGGCGTTGTCGAAGAAGCGGTCGAAGGCTTGGGGCAGGACGCTGTTCTTGTTGACTGAGGAGTAGAAGCCAGCGGGGGCTGCATGCGGGGCGCTGGGGTGGTGGTGGCCGCCGTAGGAACCTTCGTTTTTCATGAGGATCTCGGTGACGGTGGAAGGAGGAAGGCACTCCCGGTGCATAAGCTCGTCGGCCGCCGCATAGCAGGAAGAGTAGCTGTTCCGGTGGTGCCACTTGCCGGATGGCTCCAGGCCGTAGGAGACCTCCCGGACGGGGGGTACTTGGGCTGAGTAGGGATAGGAGATCTGACGAGAGGGGCCTTGGGGCAGGAAGGAGGAGACGGTGGAGAACTCGGGCACGTAATAAGTGCAACTGGGCAGATAGAGGTTGGAGGCGCAGCTCCCTCGCTCGCCGAAGTCAGCGCCCCTCTCCTTGCGCGACGGCGAGCAGAAGTTGCCCAGGTTGACCGAGTTAAACATCGTTCTCCTCTCCTGCCGGCTCCGGATGGAGGTTTTGGACCCGGTGTAGCGAGGGGGGAAAATTTGGGAAGGCGAGATGACGCGTTATCCGTCTTAGTCTCTCTCCCCGAGCACGTGATCCAAAGTAGATATTGTCATATATCAGTTCGGAGCACTTCGCAGACGTAGGAGGGGTTCTCTCTTAGGTAAGATCGGGGACGTTCAGGCGATTGGTTTGCAAACACCGCAGAAACATTATGAAAATCAATTGCAGATTTGTATTCGTTTTTCTCTCGTCACTCCCCTCCTCTCCATTCCACAGAGCAGCAAAGGAGGAGAGAGAGGGTTGGGGTGGGGTGGGCGGTGGGGTGGGCGGGGGCGGTGGTTGGGAGGGGGTAATTGTATTTTTTTTCTAGCTGCTGCTCTTTTTTCCCCCAGGATTGGGGGAAGGAGGAGAGCCTTCAGTATGGGGGTCTTGCTTCCGACCTGTGATCAGCAGTACACTGGGAAGATAGTGAAGACTGCTTTCTCCGTTGCTTGATTTCCCCAAGAATAGTGAATTCTTCCCCCCAAGTCTCAGGGACTCTTACCCTTCCAACTGGATTCAGTGCCTGTTTACAAGAGTTTGAAGAAGTCAATTCGATTATTTACCTGGCCAGAGCTGAATGTCAATTTAGGTCTTTAGAGAGGCTCCCCGGAAGAGAATCCGAAGTTTCCCAAAGGTGAGGCAGCCCAGCTGTGAGCCAGTGTCCCAACTTTGTCTGGCTTACTGTGCTGCCGCTGGCTAGGGACTCCGATTAGTCATAAACCAGTAGTGAGCAGTGCGCCAGCCGCCCAGCCGGTGCCTGGCAATGTCTGGGAAAAACCTTCTCTAATGTTGTGTTAAATATTTAGTATGAGAGAGTGGCCCTGGGTGAATATTTCATGCCTGCCTTTATTGTCAATCAATGTGCAGAAAGCTACATCCACTGTGAATTTTTAAATCCCAAACCCCAAAGAAAAAGACCAGAGTGAGAGTCATGTATCTTCTCTGTTGGGGCCCTTAGGGTTGGAGGCGAGCCTCAGCTAGTAGGCTAAAAAGAAACCTGGGGGGGGGGGAATATGATGAGAGGCTAAGATTTGGGCTCATCCATGAAAGATCTGTGGGGCTCTGGGGTGGGTGGTGGGTCCAAGTATGGGTCTCTAGAACAGACTGAAAGGACAGTGGAGCTTTGGACCCTGAGGTAGGCAGGGTAAGACAAGGGGCTGCTCCTAAGTGGAAGCCCCCAGACTTGTTCCTTGAAGCTACAGCCAGACCTTATTGCTTCTTTCCTGTTTCTTAGTACTCCCCTGCATCCTCCAAGTCTGTCACCCTCCAGGGTAATTGTGGCCCAAGGTGTGGGCTCATGTTCTGCTCTCCCTTGCCTCCTATCTCTTTGGGCACCCTAGGACACACCTGGGCAGCTAAGAATCACTTTATTGAAAGATTCTGGCCTGGATTCAAGGAACCAGAGCAACTGGCATGAGCAGAAAGCAGTCTTGGTTTCTTGGAGGAATCGCTAGGGCAGGATTTGTTAGGGAAGAAAGGGAAAAGCTTAAACTCCCGAGGTCTCTGTAGGCTGGGCTCTCAAAGAAAGCCAGAAGTAGCTCAGAACTCTCTCCATACCTCCTAACTATTGGCTAAGATTGGTTTTCACTTTTTAAAAATGTATTTGGATTTGATTTTTCTTACTGAAGCAAAAGGAAATACCAAGGCCCCCAAAACAGATAGGGAAGACACTAAAAGGGTATGTTGTGTTCAAATACAACCCCCAACCCATTCCTTCACTCTCCTGCCTCCCTAAAAATTCTTAAGCCTTTACAGTAACATCTCAGTGGAGTCTGCCTTTGTTGTTGTTGTTATTGTTTGTTTTTTCCTCAATTATGAGTAGCTCTGGAATAATCAGCAAGCAGCCTGTACCCACTCAGTGTTGGGCACTGTTTTCTGCACCCTCCTTCAGCTTTGGGCAGAACTTAACTGAGGGCCAAGAAGAACTAGATTGGAGCTCACGTGTGGGATTCTGATGGGAAGAGACCACAGAAGAAAAAATCCGTTGAGTTTTCTCTTTCCTCTAACCCTTTTCATAGGGTGAGCCAGGAACAGCATTTTTAATTATAATGGTGAGAAACTATGGATTGTGGCTTTTATGGGGTTCTCACTGACCTCATTAAACTTGAGTTTATTAGAGGCAAAATGTTCCCCAAACAGTGCTAGGATCAGAGTGAAGGAGGGAAAAAGTATCCCTATCCTTTGCAGAAGTGTGGATGAGGGCAGTCTGAGCCTCTGCTTCCCCCACCTCCCTACAAGGCTTTGCTTCTTTCCCCATCCTGGCCTCCTGGGCAATGTGGGGCCCAGTCCCCCAAGGCGCATTCTGCACAGCCGGGGCCAAGGAGGGTGGGCTGCTTCCTGTGAGGAGACAGCTGTGGGCCTGAGCACTTGAATTTGACCACCAAAGTTTATTCCCGGGCCACCATAAAAGTGAGCCAGGCGGCTGCAAGGAACTGCTGGCAGCCTGATTTCCTTGCAACAACAACAAAAAAAGAAAAGCAAGAAAGAATGTTAAGGAGTTGATGTCTAAGAAAATTTTGGGGTGCCCTGACAGAGACTTCTGGAATGTAATACTCTTTACTTTGAAAGTAAGGTGTGATGCTCAATTTTTTTTTTTTTCCTAGTGTGAGTCTTTTAATTTTTCAACTTTAAAAAAGTGTCAGCAACTGGCAGTTGCTGCTGGGGTCAAAGAGAGAAGGCCTGGTCTCTGAGGTCAGCTAGCTGTTGATTGGCAAAAATGACCACGGTGTGGGGTAGAGGCCTCCCTGCCTAGCCTTGGGTCTAATCTACTCCTGCCCCCAGCATCCTCCATTCTTGGCTGAGCTTGCTTGCCCAAGGCTATACCACCTGTCAGTCTCAGGGTCTGGTCAGGGCACTGGTTGACTCCACAGAGTGGGATTCTTTTTGGGCCCCTAGTCTCCCCTTGCAGGCCCTAATCCAGGTAGTGGCTATTTTTTTCTCACCTGCTGGGTACCCAGTGGCCCCTCCATCCTCCTGGAGTCCAAGGCCTCACCTGAAACTATCTGGCAGGACCATCCTGCCCTCCTTGCTGGCTCTTGGTGGCCTTGGTCCTCACTGCCTGGCATTAGCAGGCAGCTGTGGTCTGGGTGGCTGCCTCGGTGGTCTGGCTAGAGCAAAAAGACTCCAGCAGCCTTCCTGCCCACACATGGACAGGAGGGGAGGCTTCAGAAGGGGGCAGTATCTACGTAACTTGGCCTGGGCAATTGCCAGGCAAACTCCTGCACACAGCATCCTTCGGGCGGCCTTGCAGCTCCTCTATCTCCTCCTGCTTGCCCTGCTAGAAAACAGATCTTGGTCGGGAAAGGGTGCCACTCCACAGACCATAAGCTAGGAAGAAAACCCTGGGATGAGAAATTCGGCCTCATATAGAGTCAGTAAAGAAGAAGGGAGTCCTACTGGAGGACATCCTCAGTTGTTTCCAGCCTGGCCAGTAGGCAGGAGCCCTCATTACAAATCAGCTTATATCTTTTTGCAGGTATGTCTCTTCTTTAGAATGGTATTGCTGTGTTGAATAATCCCTTCAGAGTACTTTGTGGGATTTTCAGGCCAGTGGTTTATCTGGTGCCCAGGACACCCACATGCCTACTTCACTCCCAGCTGAGGGAATGAGGAACGGGAAAGGGAGGAACTTCAGATTTGAGGCTTTCACCTCTCCTCAGTCCTGGCAGTGCCTCAAGCCCAAAGCCCCAAGTGAGGCCACCTAAGTGGATGGATGGTGCCAGCTCTTAGGACTATGGAAGAGGTAGAGGTGCGGGAGAAAGGCAGCTCCTCTGCCCTCACAGCCACCCAGCGTCCTCTGTGGAAGGATTGTCACTGGAGACCAGCAGCAAGACCCCATTTTGCCCCATAAAAGCCCCATTTTACGAGCACCAGTTTCACTGGCCCCCTCACCAAATGCTCTAAAATGAAGGAAATGTCTTAAAAACAGTCTGGAAATGGAGTCGCTGCAACTGGGCCTTAGTTTCCAAAGCTAGTTGAGGCCCCACAGAAAATACCTTCTCGGGGGAGGTTGCCCTCTTGGGCTACCCAGTCTCCCGCCTCACTGTGGAGCAGAAGACGCGTTGGCTGGGGCCGCCATTCCCAGGCTTTAGCGCCTACTTAGGCTCCGGACCCAGTCCTCGCTGATCAAAGTGAGCTCTCGGCATTTTTATGAGATGAACTTCAGTGGCGCTTTACTTGTAATCAGACTCCTGAGTCGAAAATGTAGAAGGGAGCAGCCCATCAATCCAAAAAGGAAAAGGAGGGAGAGAGAGAGAGAGAGAGAGAGAGAGAGAGAGAGAGAGAGAGTGAGACTGACTGTGATTCAGGTGGCAGAGAAGAGCCAAAAAAGACCCTTTGCAAGAATGCTTTGTAGGTCTGTCCCAGCTTCCAGGCCCTGCCTCTCTGCCTTTTCACCCCGATTTCTGGGATTCCAGATGCCAGGGCAGATAGTGGAGCTCTAACTCACCAGTGCTAGGAAGCTCAATGCTAGAGCCTCCCCAGTGCGGACTGTTGCTGCGTGGGGCGAAGGTGACAGCCTACCCTGCTCTCCGAGTGAGGAAGATGATTTGAAAGTCTCCCCCATTTTGCTGCTTTCCTCTGCGGTCTCCGTGGTTCTCTCGTCACTTACAGACAGAAGTTGAGTTACAGGAAGATTCGCCAAAGATTTATCGCCTGGCCCCAAACTTGGAGAGCCTCATCATAAACAGCCGTCTATTGTCTAGACTTTTATCTCCAAGTATGGATCTGGATCGTGCATTAGTGAGGCTCAGGGGAACATAGGCTGACTCTGTGGGGTATGCAGTGCCGCCGGTGCCTGCCTGTCACTCCCAGGGATTTCTTTGGGTCAGTTTTTTAGAGTGAACAGATTTGTATGTTCTTGGAGCTGGGCAGGTATACCTGAGTGTCTCCGAGTGAAGGTAGGGAAGGTCTCTTTCTCTGCATGTCTGGGAACATTTCTGTGCGTGTAGCTGTGTGTTGGGTGAGAATTTGTCACGGTTGTGTTTTGTTCTGGGGCATTTTAAGTGTTCCTGTCTGGGCTTTTGCGGATTTTATGAAC